TATCTTGTGTGATTCAAGATGTATCAAAGGACCAAGACATCAAGTGTTTCCCCAACAGAAAAGACATCTTAGCGACTCGCATAGTACCAATGTTAATTAACGACTTACCAAGAGAGGTTAGTGAACGAGTGACTAACGTTGTCCTTCGACGCGCCGACACCGCCGAAGACGAGCAAATTAGGAGGAAGACAACTGCAAAGACGACGAGTCTCCTGTTTTCCTAAAGTCGCATCGTGTCCGAGGCAGCCGGGACAGTTAGTAAAAACCTTGGGTTATGCAGTCGACGACGAAGACGACATTAGAGGCGACGATGACGCCGAAGACGACGACCCGCCGAAGTCAACAAGGAAGACGACAACGAGGACGCTGACAACGCCGGAAGCAACGAGGAAGACTTAAGTGACCTAAGATGTCTCGTCAAGAAAAATATCGGGTGGTTGCTGGGTCCCAGGGGCAGTGCACTACTTACTAAGAACCGTCGGCAACTGACTTGACAATACCAGTGAAAGACATGCTCTGTCTCTTGCGTGCTTTGTGGTGTCCGGTAGAGAAAACCATCGAGTGATTTGCTGTGTCAGAAGGACAGTTAGCTACTTAATAGGAACCTTAGGTGACGAATTGTCAAGACCAGTGAAAGATATGCTCTTTCTCTTCCGTGGCTTACGGTGTCCTATGAAGAAAAAAACATCGGGTGACTTTTGTGCGCCAAGGATAGTGATCGGGTTACCCGGCGTCTTCTGTTATCGCCTTGTGAAGACCCGTGAAAGACATGCGATGTCTCGTGCGTCTTTTACGTTGTCCGTCGAGAAAGATATAGCGCCTTTTTGGTACCCAAAATTGCCCCAGCTCCCTTTGCCCCCAGGATAGTGATCGGGTTATCTGGCGTCTTCAGTTATTGCCTTGTAAAGACCAGTGAAAGACATGTAACGGCTCGTGTGTGGTTTACGCTGTCTGTCGAGAAAGACATAGCGCCCTTTTCGCACCTAAAATTGCCCCAGCCCACCTTCGTCGCCTGGTAGCGCCGCCTCTGACCTACAACGTAAACCCTTTATGAGCGGTGATATCTAACACTATGACACAACAGTTCTCTCTTTTTTTTTTTAAACTACAGCTCAACCATATATGTACGACCAGAACCCGACACTTTGCCACACCTGTCGTCCTTTTGCTATTTTTCCCACTACACTTTAAACTACGGATGAGTGGCCGGCCTCCCATAATATGTTACAAAAGTCGCCCTTCTGTTAACGCTTTCGTTTTTACTGCAACTAAACCCTCCCTAACCTATCAATATCTAACACTATGATAAGACACACGCCAAATGTCGTATGTTTTCCTTTTTGCTACAGCTTAAACTATTTCTGCGCGGCCGGCATTCCTTATTATTGTTGACATAAAAGTTGCAATTTTGCCATAAATTCCCATCTTTACCTAAAATCAAAACCTCAATGATCGGTTGGCATTCGCTGCTATGACACAAAAGTCGCCGTTTTGCCATAACGTCCCCTTTTTACTTCAACTCAAACCCTTCATAAGCGGTCGGCCTCCTCAATATGTCACAAAAGTCGCCTTTTTGCTATAAATTACCATATTGTTTTTATTTTAACTCATACCCTCCTTGAGCGGTCAATATCCAATAATATGTCACAACGGTCGCCTCTTTGTTAAAGTTTTCCTTTTTTACTAAAACTTAAACTATCAACATCTAACACTATGACAAGCCCCCCACCCTTCTATTGTACGTTCTCCTTTTTACTATAGCTCAAACCATCCCTGAGCAGTCGACCTTCGCTCCCATGACACAGATGATGATGATGATGATGATGGCGCCCAAGTCGCCCTTTAGTATATATCCCCGGTCATCAAACCACCTTTCTAGGTTTCTTTACCTAAACCCTAAAACGCCCCCTCCCCTCTGCCGGCTGTCACTGCTGCCTATGTCTATTTTCATATCCCGTAACTTGTTTCGTTTTATAACATATATATCTCCCGCTAACAACCCACTTCTAATTTTTTTTTTTTTTTTGTCTATTACAGAACCCATAAACCAACACCAACCGTTTTAGTCGCCCTGTCGCCCCGTGTCCCTTGCCCCGCCCGCCGCGCTGCTCACCGATGTCAGGTAAGCCCCTTCTCTTCTGCCCTCGACACTATGACAAGACAGCTACCCTTCTGTCGTATGTCCTCCTTTTTACTACAGCTCAAACCATCCCTTCAATACCATGACACAGATGATGATGATGGCGCTCGAGTCGCCCTTTCTAATATATCCCCGGTAATCCGCCACTTTAACTAACATCTGGCCCTGCACTAAAGAAATATTTGCCTTTCCCCGAAGAAAAATACCCACACCCCAACATACCGACAATGAATAACCATTTGTTATGGAGACAACATATCGATTTATGCACCATATGTCTTTCCCCTGAAACCCGTCAAGTGTGCTGTCATCAGCCTCCCGATCGATATTTACTAAGGATAAAGAACAGCCTCCCAGAGAGACCAAGCAGATTTGGCCGCCATGGGGAAATGAATCATCCGCCACTTTTAACCAACAGCTGGCCCTGCACTAAAGAAATATTTGTCTTCCTTAAACCAATCCGCCTAAAAATACCCACACCCCAACATACCGACAATGAATAACCAGTTGCTATGGAGACAAAATATCGATGTTTATATGTCTGTTCTCTTGTATAGGTTGAGCGGTCGACCTTCGCTACCATGACATAGATGATGATGATAATGCCGGCGCCCAATCTTCCCTTTCTAATACATCCCCGGTCATCATGCCGCCTTCCTAGTCGCCCCGGGTCCCCTGCCCCCCGCTGCTCACCTAAATAGTGTTCCTGCCTGCCCCCCGTTTTATATAACGCCACCTGTCACCTACGGCTCCCCTCATACAATCACCTATACAGACATCCACATAAACCCGCACCAACTCTATTAGTCGCCCCGGGTCCCCTGCCCCCCGCTGCTCACCTAAATAGTGTTCCTGCCCGCCCCCGTTTTATATAACGCCACCTGTCACCTGCAGTTATGAAGATTTCCTATACCTTTCCCTAAAACCAATCACTTGTGTTGTCATCAGCACCACGTCGCCTTCCTAGGTTTTCTTTATCGCAAGTCTAAAACGGCTCCCCTCATACAATCACCTATACAGACATCCACATAAACCCGCACCAACTCTATTAGTCGCCCCGGGTCCCCTGCCCCCCCCCCCCCCCGCTGCTCACCTAAATAGTGTTCCTGCCTGCCCCCGTTTTATATAACGCCACCTGTCACCTGCAGTTATGAAGATTTCCTATACCTTTCCCTAAAACCAATCACTTGTGCTGTCATCAGCCGCCCGATCGATATTTACTAAGGACAAAGAGGGCGGCTTACCCGATCGATATTTACTAAGGATATATAAAGCCGCCAGAAAGAACCAATCACTTTTGGCCGCCATCTTTTACTAAGGATAAAGAAGGCGGCTTAATCGAAATGCGCGCCGTATTACGCTACTACACTACTTTTGTTGTTTCCTACCAACTTTTTCTCTTCCCTATAACTTTCTACTCCTTTTAAAAACTTCCAAGACCAGCTGCTAACCAAGGCTAAGGCCCTGATCTGCCCGTTAAGTTTTCAGGCTGCGTTTCCTCTTATTTATTGTAAAACCAGTCTTGTATACTGCTGTGGTTTCGTACATAGAGGGGGGCTAGAGAGCTCCGCAGTACAGTCCCTGCGAACAAGGTAATTTTGTACTGTGGCGGGATAAAAGCTACTATGCTACTGTTTTTTTTTTTCTTCTCTTCTTTCTGTCTGGCTACTGGTTTGTGAATTTGTTTAACGGACGTCCACTTTTCATTCTGTTGCATGTTTTGCCACCTTTCACTTTGTCCACTTGTCTGTCTTCTCACATGTGTCATCTACATCATCGCCTGCTTATATGTCTACCCCGCCCGGTGTCTGTCTGCCTCTTTATCTCTATCCGTCTCCCTTCCTCCATGTCTGTCTGGTCTGCTTCTTTATCTCTGTCCGTCTCCCTTCCTCCATGTCTGGATGACTCCCTCTACGAATGCCACAATTTTATACTCTAACTGATCCCCGTCTGTTGGTCTCTCTCTCTCTCTCTCTCTCTCTCTCTCTCTCTCTCTCTCTCTCTCTGTCACTCTCTCTCTGTCACTCTCTCTCTGTCTCTCTCTCTCTCTCTTTCTCCCCGCAGACTGTTTCCCTGTCTTCCTGTCTGTAGCCTTCTCTCTGAAACTCCACGAATAGACTTTGAATGAATCCTAATCATCCCCGTCTATCGTTTTCTATGTCTCTGCCCCCCCCCCCCTCCCCCTCTCTCTCTGTCTCTGTCTCTCTTTCTCTCTCCCCTGACTGTTTCCGTGTCTTCATATCCCTAACTTCATGCAAGAAATTCCACTGCTGCCGGTCTCTCTCTCCCCACTTCCCCTTTCTACGTCCCTCTCTCCCTCCCACCATCTCTCTCTTCGTCCCTGTGGCCCCCCCCCCCCCCCCCCCGAAGCTCTACTCCACAAATGCCACATTTATTGGCCCTAATTCGGCCCCGGAATCAATGACATGTTAACTTCCGGTTTACAACTGACGAAGAGTTTTTCACGTCACGTTCAATTCTGTTTGCTGTCTTCTGTATGAAACTCAGATGTACCCTGCTATGGTGTATATTCCTGTCGAAATATTCCGATACATCGCAGGATTGTGTCTGAATCGTGTCTCCTGGTCGGGGTCCCTGCAAGTAGGCCATCGTGTCGTATGCTTAGGGAGCTCTAATTTTTGTGGAAATTCTTCTAGAAAATCGAACGCCACTAATGGACTTAGCTCGTGCACGCGCCTGAAGCGTGCTCTTAACTATGCTTAATATGGAATTGAATATCCCCCGGGAAGGGCGGGAGAAAGAAGAATTGGAGAATAGGGAATAGGCAGACTTACACAGTGCATTAACACCAGCACACGTAGGTTGCCGTTCTTTCATTCCTTTTTCTTTCTTTGTGACCATGATTTTGGCTTCGTTCCGATGTCAGGTTAACTTATTTAGTTCCATTTGGTCTCCATACATTATCTTGGTTCTTGTGTCGCCCTTCCTCTTTCACGCTCTTTCTTCATATTTCTCCTCACAGCCTCCCCGCTCTCTCTCTCTCTCTCTCTCTCTCTCTCTCTCTCTCTCTTTCAGGCGCGCGCGTGTGTATTTGTGCGCGCGCGCGCGCTTCGTCGCTACTTTTCATACACCCTAATACCCATTCGTTAGCTCATCTTTATTATCGTAAACCTCTGAAATCTCCTTATCTGTTGCTGATACTTCTTCTTCTTCTGCCTTTTTATCCCCCAATGGAGCATAGGCCCTCAACCAACTCACGCCAAGTCGTTCTATCCTTCGCCATTACATGGAGCTCTCCCCATGTCCTCCCCATCTTTCTAACCTCATTCTCCAGCTCTCTTCTCCATGTGTTTTTTTGGCCTTCCTTTATTCCTATGCCCCTGTGAGTTCCAATGTCTCCCCACGGACCGCCCACTAGCTCACTTCTGATTGGTAGTTTCTGAACCTGTCACCTTAGCACAAGGTTACGTGGGTGTTACGCAGTGCCGGTAATATCGCGTGTTGTATATTTCAGCATGCCAGCGCTTTTAACACTACAAAAACATTGACAAACTAGGACTAACACAGCGCCCTTAGAGAGTGCTGCAACCTATGTCACAGGCATTCTCTTTGTCGGAATAAAAACTTTTAAGACAACACAGAAAGCAAATAACAGAGCAGCACACCGGTAACCTGCACGAAAGTAGACCAGCCCAACAAAGTTGTGAATGAAACGTGACCTACTTTGTGTGGGGAGAACTAAGTAAGAAGAAACTCCACAGTTGAGCATGTACAGCAGGGGTCTACCAATCATCAGTAGAAGTAACCTCTCGTCGACAATTGTTTCGGCCCACGAGCTTCTAGACATTTTCAGAGAGTGGGCCCAGCTGAGTTCATGAAGCTCAGGGTTGGTTTCCCCTGCTGCACGAAATTACCGGATATTTTTCGGACAGGGACAAGACGAATTGGCGTTTTGCAGAAGGTACTGTGAGATAAGAAGTCGTTGCGGTAGGATAATTAAAGCAGTCTGCATACCTGGACGACCGAGCGGCAAGCTTACGATTGGTGAGAACTAACACCAAACCCAAAACAATGTATAGAACTTTCCCTCACCATCTTTGCCCCTGCGGCCACGCTGACGCTGTCTGTTCCTTCATGTTTCCGTGGGCTCAGCCAGACGTAGGGTAAATTCATACACACTGATTGGTTGCGAGATGTACAAAAAGATTGCAAAGATATTAAGTTAGCCTTTCTTTTTCTTAGTGTTTGCCAGCTGTAAACTCCGGGGCAAAGTTCTGGTTATTCGTCTACTTCTGTACCTTGACCATGTTCCAGAACTTGAGCATGCGTGTACATCTGTTTTACAGATTATATTAATTTATATGCAGACTGTTGGTTCGTCACTTTTAAGGCAGATGCACTATTTCCAAGGAAACAACCTAATTAGTCGCTTTTTACGACATGCACGAGGGCGGGTTACCACCCCCCCCCCCCTCGCCCCCGTCACACACACATTGGGATCCTAGAACTCTCGAGAGGTTTGGAAGAGTTGCAGTTGTAGCGGATGGCTGGGTTGTGAGATACAACTCCTGGTTGATACTTTCCTATTGTTATGCTAGAACAGTCGTGACACCCTGTCCATTGCTGTTGTATCCAAACTGTAAATTCATTTACCAACTCAGCTTGAGAGTGCTGTCGTTTTTGCCGCTCTATTATTCATCAATTATAAGTTCTTCCACATGGCTATTACAAAGTGAAGGGTCACTGGCAGACCTTTTGAAATAATCAGCATCCGCTGATTTTAGCTCGTACTCTCACACATCGTCTATACCTGTCTGTATGGAGTCACTGGTCTATACCTGTCTGCATGAAGTCACTGGTCTATACCTGTCTGTCTGGAGTCACTGGTCTATACCTGTATGGAGTCACTGGTCTATACCTGCCTGTATGGAGTCACTGATATATACCTGCCTGTATGGAGTCACTGGTCTATACCTGCCTGTTTGGAGTCACTGGTCTATACCTGTATGGAGTCACTGGTCTATACCTGTCTGTATGGAGTCACTGGTCTATACCTGTCTGTATGGAGTCACTGATCTATATCTGTCTGTATGGAGTCACTGGTCTATACCTGCCTGTGTGGAGTCACTGGTCCATACCTGTCTGTGTGGAGTCACTGGTCTATACCTGTCTGTATGGAGTCACTGATATATACCTGCCTGTATGGAGTCACTGGTTTATACCTGTCTGTATGGAGTAAATGGTCTATACTTGTCTGTATGGAGTCACTGCTCTCTACCTGCCTGTATGGAGTCACTGGTCTATACCTGTCTGTATGGAGTCACTGGTCTCTACCTGCCTGTATGGAGTCACTGGTCTATACCTGCCTGTATGGAGTCACTCGTCTATACCTGTCTGTATGGAGCCACTGGTCTCTACCTGTCTGTATGGAGTCACTGGTCTATACCTGTCTGTATGGAGTCACTGGTCTATACCTGTCTGTCTGGAGTCACTGGTCTCTACCTGCCTGTATGGAGTCACTGGTCTTAACCTGTCTGTATGGAGTCACTGGTCTATACCTGTCTGTATGGAGTCACTGGTCTATACCTGTCTGTATGGAGTCACTGGTCTATACCTGTCTGTATGGAGTCACTGGTCCATACCTGTCTGTATGGAGTCACTGGTCTATACCTGTCTGTATGAAGTCACTGGATTATACCTGCCTCTTTGGACTCACTGGTCTAAACCTGTCTGTCAGGAGTCACTGGTCTCTACCTGACTGTATGGAGTCACTGGTCTATACCTGCCTGTATGGAGTCACTGGTCTATACCTTTTTGGAGTCACTGGTCTATAACTGTATGGAGTCACTGGATTATACCTGCCTCTTTGGACTCACTGGTCTAAACCTGTCTGTCTGGAGTCACTGGTCTCTACCTGCCTGTATGGAGTCACTGGTCTATACCTGCCTGTATGGAGTCACTGGTCTATACCTTTTTGGAGTTACTGGTCTATAACTGTATGGAGTCACTGGTCTATAACTGTATGGAGTCACTGGTCTCTACCTGCCTGTATGGAGTCACTGGTCTATACGTGTATGGAGTCACTGGTCTATACCTGTATGGAGTCACTGGTCTATACGTGTATGGAGTCACTGGTCTATAACTGTATGGAGTCACTGGTCTATACCTGTATGGAGTCACTGGTCTATACCTGTGTGGAGTCACTGGTCTATACCTGCCTGTATGGGGTCACTGGTCTATACGTGTATGGAGTCACTGGTCTATACCTGTATGGAGTCACTGGTCTATACCTGTGTGGAGTCACTGGTCTATACCTGTATGAAGTCACTGGTCTATACCTGTATGGAGTCACTTGTCTATACCTGTATGGAGTCACTGGTCTATACCTGTATGGAGTCACTGGTCTATACCTGTATGGAGTCACTGGTCTATACCTGTATGGAGTCACTGGTCTATACCTGTATGGAGTCACTTGTCTATACGTGTATGGAGTCACTGGTCTATATCTGTATGGAGTCACTGGTCTATACGTGTATGGAGTCACTGGTCTATACCTGCCTGTATGGAGTTACTGGTCTATACGTGTATGGAGTCACTGGTCTATACCTGCCTGTATGGAGTCACTGATCTATACCTGTATGGAGTCACTGGTCTATACCTGTATGGAGTCACTGGTCTATACCTGTATGGAGTCACTGGTCTATACCTGTATGGAGTCACTGGTCTATACCTGCCTGTATGGAGTCACTGGTCTATAACTGTATGGAGTCACTGGTCTATACCTGTATGGAGTCACTGGTCTATACCTGTATGGAGTCACTTGTCTATACCTGTATGGAGTCACTGGTCTATACCTGTATGGAGTCACTGGTCCGTACGTGTATGTAGTCACTGGTCTATACATGTATGGGGTCACTGGTCTATAACTGTATGGAGTCACTGGTGCTATACCTGCCTGTATGGAGTGACCAATCTATATATATAGAGTGACTCGCCTGTACCTGTCCGTGTGCAGTCACTGGTCTGTACTTATTTATGTTTAGTGACTGGTGTATACTTGTCTCTATGGAGTGTTTGTGTTTGTAGGCCCCATGCAGATTGTGAGGTCCTTAGCTGTAGCTTTTTTGCGTATACGTAAATCCGGCAGTCTTCTTCTTCTTCTTCTTCTTCTTTTTCTTCTTCTTCTTTTTCTTCTTCTTCTGTGTTCAAAGGCTGAAAGCAGCGACAGAAAGTCCCGGTTGTTCGTCTATTTGAACTCTGGCTTTGATCCAGGGCCTGACTCTTGCGTGTACATCCGTTTTACTGGCTTATTTGTGTACTGTTAGTTCTTCCTTGCCGCTCAGGCAGATGCACTTCGACTTCGAATGAAGTGCCCAGTTATTCGACTCTTACGATATGCAGTGGGTCTCCTCTTGTTTTCCCCCACAATGGGGCCTCAGAACCCACAGGAGAAAATCTGCCACTGATCAGTCGTTTCCGTGGGACCACTTGTAATGATCCGTCAAAAATTAGGTAGGGGTTTACCTGCCGTGTGCAGCCGAGTGTTGCCACCTGTGACCCTGAGACGGTTCTTACCTGGTTTGTTGATGTCTGAGCTTGCAGGTATTCCTGTAGCGCCTGATGGCTACTGTTGTAAAGGTTCTGGCAAGCAGGCAAATGTTGATGCTGTGTTGCATCATGTCTTTTAGCACTATGCGAACTGTTAGTCGTTGTTTGTGAATACCTGAGAGAAGCTCTGGCCATTGGAATATTTAAAGCAGTGTTCCGCACCTTTGCACACCCGCACCAAAACAGGGGAAATTATTACACGGCTCTCGTGATAGCTAACCAAACACAGAACCTCAAAAACGGTGGTAGATAGCGATTGATTGGCACCTTTCCGTCTTTCCAGACGAGAGTATTTTATTAGGCTATGAAGAGACGCGTGGCTCACAGGCGATGGCGAGTGTGACTAGCAAGACCCGCTCGCCTTAAGAAAAGTCTTCCACAGTTATAACATGGGATTTCAGGACCACTGTTCTTAACATTTTTGTTTAGCCTGTTTCTTCTCAGACGCTTAGGGGGCCTCGTGGTCTCGAGGTATGGTATCCGCCTCGAGTGCTAGAGGTCCTGGGTTCAAGCCCCGGTTAGGGCTAGGATTATTTCACGTGGAGGGACTTCTGGTAATTTCCCTCTGGTCTCTGGGTTGTAAAACCAGACGCCTGTGTGTATTGTTGCGCACGTCAAAAATCCCTTGGCAGTTGGAAATTGAAAAGAGTAGCCTAATAGCGCTGTCCAGGCAAAATTTTGAGTTATTTTTATACCCAAAGTAATTCAGGATCCTCGCCGGTGCAACAGAGTTCGTGCACTGCGCTGAGGTTTTTCAGTTTCAGGCTGGCGTTAGAAGAAGAACGGAATACTTATGGGTTACACCTGTGTGCCTTGATGTTGATCCGTTGAATGAAAATAAACAGATGCTCAGATTTCATTCTTTCTGCAGTCACTCCTTCCTTCATTCTCAGCTCCTGCGTGAAGAGCACCCTTCACACAACGGTCTGTGGCATTTTGCTCCCACGAGTCCACATCAGTACCTGTATCATTCGTGCCCCGCTTGCACACATCTTCTACCCGTCTTTAATTCACCATAGAGGATGTCCTTAGGGACCCAGTCACTGGAGCCCTCGTAGACTGAGCATTGAGAAGACTGTTGTAGTATCTGCTCATTCCAGTACCTCAATGTTTGTAATCTTGTCCTACAATGTAATGCCTAGTGTTCTTCTTATGCATCGCATGTGAAAGCTATTTAGCCGTTTCTTCTGGTTGATAGACAGCAGTGTATTAGTTAAATCCGATATCGTAAAGAGTTTTAGCTTATGCGATATCTTTTGACTCTCATTCTTTTGGTGTTAATTCCAGGGAATGCCGGAAGAGAAACAACACTTACCATCCTACCATGTTTTATGATTAGGAAGAAATTTTTAGCGGTCCACGTCAACTTTTCTACCGCCCACCATTGGGCCGCTGCACACCATTAGGCCGCGGCTCACCATTGGGCCGCTGCGCACCATTAGGCCGCGGCGCACCATTTTAAGAACACTGGTCGATAGAAAGGCATTTCACCTGGCGATTTTTTTTAACACCAGTGCTTTAGTTTTTAGTCTCATGGAATTAGTGGTAACGAGGCTGTGTGTATGTGTGTGTGTATGTGTGTGTGAATACTTTAATCTTAATTCATTGCAAACAAACCTCGTAGCTATGTTTAGCGTGCGTTGAAATCAAGGTTAGTTTTATAATCATCAATACGTACAGTTATACAGAAAACCGAAAAAAACTATACTGTGAAACACATTGATGTCACGTGATGTGTTTGGGCTATCTCAGGAACTCCCGGATTAACTTTGTTTACAGTGAACTAAAAATGAATTTCCCCCCTCCCCCCCCCACCCCCCGCCGTGTGTGTTTTGAGTCGGTTCTTGTTTGCCTGGTTATTGTTATTTATTGTGTTGTTCTGCCCGATTACCTATCAGTTTGTTTTCTTTCAATGATCAGTTCAACGATCGCTGGTCACAAGATAACGACCACACATGTGTGCGCGGCATACCAGGTTCTAATGACATTCTCTATTCATTTGACAGAATGCATGGCCGGGATGTGCCCGACCAAACCACTGCGAATATCGGAGTTGAACCCACACCTCTTGTGTGCTCTCTGTGGAGGCTACCTGATCGATGCTACTACCATTATCGAATGTCTCCACTCATGTAAGTAACAACATTTTGAACATGTCCTTCTTCTTCTTCTTCTTCTTCTTCTTCTTCTTCTTCTTCTTCTTCTTCTTCTTTCTTCTTCTTCTTCTTCTTTCTTCTTCTTCTTCTTCTTCTTCTTCTTCTTCTTCTTCTTCTTCTTCTTCTTCTTCTTCTTCTTCTTCTTCTTCTTCTTCTTCGTCTTCGTCTTCTTCTTCTTCTTCTTCTTCTTCTTCTTCTTCTTCTTCTTCTTTTTCTTCTTCTTCTTCTTCTTCTTCTTCTTCTTCTTCTTCTTCTTCTTCTTCTTCTTCTTCTTCTTCTTCTTCTTCTTCTTCTTCTTCTTCTTCTTCTTCTTCTTCTTCTTCTTCTTCTTCTTCTTCTTCTTCTTCTTCTTCTTCTTCTTCTTCTTCTTCTTCTTCTTCTTCTTCTTCTTCTTCTTCTTCTTCTTCTTCTTCTTCTTCTTCTTCTTCTTCTTCTTCTTCTTCTTCTTCTTCTTCTTCTTCTTCTTCTTCTTCTTCTTCTTCTTCTTCTTCTTCTTCTTCTTCTGCTGCTGCTGCTGCTGCTGCTGCTGCTGCTGCTGCTGCTGCTGCTGCTGCTGCTGCTGCATCTATTCATTCCTCCCTTTCAGCCTAAGAAACATGCTGCCTTAACTCTTACCAAGCAACTCACTAGGCGCTTGCTGGGTACGGCTACATGATGCACATTTTGAACTTCTTGTAAACGATCCTGTTGTTTCACTTATTCTATCTGTTACTTTTCTCAAATAACTCCATCTGTCCCAAAGTTTTAATATTTTAACTCCCCAGACTCAAACTTTGATTTCCTCAAGTAACAGTAGAAAGAATTAGGGCAACATTTGCATGTTACTAGAAAAGTTAAAACAGCTTGAAATGAAACAGTCAAGAATGTGTTATTGCTTGTCTTCTTCTTCTTCTTTGCGTTCACCAGCTGTACACTCTGGCGGAAAGTTCTGGTTGCTCGTCCATTACTGAGCTGCAGTCCTGCTCCAGAACCTGAGTGTTGCGTGTGCATCAGTTTTACAGATCTTATTCTCTTGAATACAGACTGTTGGTTCCTTGCCTCTCCGGCAGATGCACTCCGACTTCAAAGGAAGCTCCCCAATCAGTTGACTTTTACGACATGCTTTTGGGGGAGCAGTGGGTCTATTCTTGTTTTCCCCACAATGGGGCCCCGGAACCCACACAGGGGGTTATTGCTTGTAATTGATACAGTTTAGAAGGTGAAGCAAGAAGACTATGAGTAGGGATTTGATTTGTGTGGGCTCGTGTTTTTGCAGAGATTTAAGCCGCCTTCTGATATCGCATGCCATGTTGCACGATCCTACTTTGTTTTCACTCCCCACGTTGTTGGAACTGTTACTCGAAAGAAAGGTCGGGGGGAGCGGAGGCTGAAGGCAACAATACCGGTGTTCTAAAATTGGCAGACAGTGGGAGTTTACCAGACCATCCTAGGAAAACTTGATCAGACCAGGGAGAGAGAAGTCGACGGTTTCCATCCCGTGTTCAAGTGGTTTCACTACAGAATATGAAGCAACGTCTGTGTACTATTAACTGGCGCGTGGGGGGAGGGGAAGGATCTGCCCTGAGCAAACTGCCAAGTCTGTGACTCCGGTAGCAGCTGGTCTTGTCTAGATTTTCTTACCGGCGGCCATGCTTCCGGCTGGGGAACACGAGTCTCGTTTGTGTCTGCGTCTGGGGAGACACGCGCGCGCACGCACTCGCGCGCGCGCACACACACTGGCACAAAGAGGCGGGAGAGGGGGAGTAATAGGAGAGTGTGGAGAATGCGTGTGAGAGGGATTGAGTGATGAAAGAGAAAGTAGAATAGATGTGAATGGGTGTAAACAAGAGAGAGAGAGAGAGAGAGAGAGAGAGAGAGAGAGAGAGAGAGAGAGAGAGTAGATTGAGTGAGAGACCTAGATTTGAGAATTATAGTCCGTTCAGAAATTCATAAACATGAATAGATTTTAATATTTTGTGAAACTAACAGACCGATTGTCATGATATTTGGTATGCTCACACCATACATCAATGACTTTAAGGAAATATGTTTTTCGCTAATGAAGAATAGCAAATTTAATGTTTTTCGCCCCCCCCCCTCCCTTTCCCCCTTTTTTCCCTTTTTTTTAAATCGATATATATATTTTTGATCATGAAACCGTCTTGGTAGACTTTACTTTCATTAGTCTAAGGAAGTACTGTTAATCAGCACACTATAACGTGTTGAGCGTGGAGTCAAAGAAAAACTATGTACTTTCACGATTTTCTTGTACAGAGTCATACTGTTGGTGCAGAGTTTCCAAGACTTTTCTTAGTTGCGGCGCCTTTTTTTTTAAATTAAATTTTTCCCTTTGTGCCGTAACCTAAGTAAAAGTATGACTATTCTCAAGTAAGAGATTAAAAAAAATATATATATACATAATTTTAGCTTTTCGCGTTTTTGTTTAATTAGGCCAAATGTCTTGGTTTTTATTTTTTTATTTATTGTTTTTATTTTTTTTTTAAAATTTTTTTTACGTATCCAGAAACCATGAGTTGTAAACCCTTTGGCTTGGTACTATGGATATCGCAACCCTTCGGCATTGATTCCATTATAGGTACCGTTAATCTGGGAGAAATGTGGCTTTTCTGCCTACCCCCGGGAGTGAACCCGGACCACAAGGAGTTTGTCACCCGGCCGCCGCGAAAGTCAGGTTTAACCAACTTCGCTAGAGAGCCGGGCAATGTCTTGGTTAAATTAATTATGAAGCTTTAACAAAATTTCGCGGCGCCCCTGTAAAGTCGCGAGTCCCCGGGGCGCCGCGGCGCACAGTTTGGGAATCACTGTGTTAGTGAACATAACCCAAAATAAGACGTCGCACTGTTAGTTACTAGAAGCCAAAATACGACGTCTGTCAAGGTTTTTTTAGTGAGAGGCTTATCCACAGATTATAGTGTTGAGTTTTTGTGTCATATAGTAGACTTATAAAAATTGACATATACTTCAATTTCATAATGCGTTTGATTTTAAACTGTGCAGAAGATTATCGTGTTACGATACCAGCATTTTCCCTGGGAATTTGATATGGGTCATTTATATTGTAAATACGAACAAAACGAGCAATGGGTCTGGACAAAGCATCATTTAGGCTGCATGCAAAAAACGTCATTGCGATCTAACAGGCAGTTTTCGAGAAAATTTATTGCAAACGTGTTTATGAATTTCTGAACGGATTATAGAATTAGTATGTAAGGGAGAGAGGAGAGGCGAGGGAGAGAAAAGAGGCAATGATGAATCAAAGAAAGAGAGGGATCGAAAAAAAGAGGGGAAGAGAGAGGGGGTGTTGTTTAACATAATGTTTTTGAGAATGCTATAAACAGAGACAAAATGGGGCACTACAACAACCACTACTAATTCTACTACAAAGACTAATACTATTACTAGCACCCCCTCCCCCTTTTTTTTTCTCACCCTTCCCCGCTCACTACAACTATTACGACGTTGACTGCCACAACAATTACCACCCACCGACAAGTATTACTACTACCACTACTACTGCAACTACTTTAGCTGCTGCTACTACTCCCGCTGCTTCGACTAACACTGTCACTAGTGCTACTACTGCTGCGGCTACTACTACTGCTAATGCAACTGCTATTATTGCTTCTTTTGCTGTTTGCTACTGCTACTGCTACTGCTACTGCTTCTGCTACGACTGCTGCCGTTGTCACCACCACCACCACCACCACCGGGTGCCGTGGTAGCACAATGGTTAGACGTTGGTCAAAATGGACATTAGGCAGCGGCACTGTTCGAAACAGAGGCAAATTTTTTGCTTCTGCCGGACATTGGCCGATACATTTTTGCTCCATTTGTAGACTGGATATAGTTTCGTCGCCCAGCTTCTGAGTCGAATGCATGGTGTGACACTGTGAGCTGCGGATTGCTTTTGGAATGTTTTTTCGACTGTGACCAACGTGTTGGTGTGAATTGTAGATTCAGAAAATGGCGCGATGCCTGTCGTGCAGTGTTGTGATGCCCGTATGTGATTAAAATTTATCGCGTGGGCAACTGCTGATCTGTTGGCGACTTCTGCTACCATCAATGATGAACTGCAATTCTAATACTGTGATAAACATTCTGTGTGTTTTTCATTGGCACAGGAGCGGAGCAAAGATGGTGTGACCCGTTTGCCATGAAGCTGAAACTAAGACTACCAGACTACCAGTTTCCCTTCCGATTTTCAGGTCTGGAGTTAGAATCCTCATCGGGTAGAATGTTTAACTTTGACCTCCACTGGCAGGTGCTTCCAGCCTAAATGGATACGGAGAAATGTCCTGTGAATTAGAGGTGGTGGACCTAACGTTTACCACATCACCCACCGTTTGCCGGCTGATCTTTAAAACATGGGTCCAGTACTTGGCGCTCATTGGTTGATAGTCTGTGTTCTACTGGCAGGTAGTGGGTGCACCTGAAGAAGAAGAAGAAGAAGAAGAAGAAGAAGAAGAATTACTAGACAGACGGGAAACATTTACCGTAGGCAGCATTACAACCACTCGCAGCTATAAATAAACAGCGTGGAAACTACACACGCAACAGACAAAATGTCAAAAAACATACGCGAACTCACGCCAACGCGCAAGCACATACATCTAACGCTGCGCACAGCAGACAATAAATAAAGCAGATGTATCGATGCACGTGTGCCTGTAGATTGAACTGAGTTCAGACTGGCGCAATTTGTGTATAATTGAATAAAGTTGCACACGTGCAAGCGTTTAAGAAAACGTCTATTCGCTTCTGCAGCCTATCTTCAGTCTAGTCGCGAATGCTGCATTTTGAGCGATGACGATAGGAACTGTCTGGTGGCAGGGCAGCAATTACCTAGGCTCAAATTGCTGCCGCTGTTAGATACTGTTGTTTTAAACTGATCTAACCGCATTGCGGATTGTCTCACAAACTATAATACACTTCCTGCCTTGAACGCCAGTAAAATTGTTCGAGCAAGCCTCGGTTTG